TCCATGCATTGATTTTAGGGGCTTGAATAAAATCACTGTTAAAAACCGTTACCCACTCCCTTTAATTGCAGAGATGTTGGAAAGACTCCGCTCTGCCAAAGTCTTCACAAAACTTGACTTACGGGGGGCATATAACCTGGTACGCATGCGTCAAGGCGATGAATGGAAGACTGCCTTTAGAACCAGATATGGACACTTTGAGTCCCTAGTTATGCCTTTTGGCCTATGTAATGCTCCCGCGACTTTTCAGCACTTCATAAATGATGTGTTTCGAGATTTGTTGGACCAGTTTGTTATTGCTTATCTGGACGATATCCTCATCTTTTCGGACAACCTAGTGGAGCATCGCAAGCATATCTGCACTGTATTCAAAAGGTTAAGGATGAACCGACTTTACATCAAACTGGAGAAGTGTGAGTTTGAACGAGCCCAGATCCAGTTCTTGGGATATATCGTTTCTTCAGAAGGAGTGTGAGCATGGATCCCGAAAAGATCAAGGCAGTGGTGGATTGGACTGCCCCTGGAAACGTTAAGGAAATACAACGATTTATTGGATTTGCCAATTTTTATAGGAAATTCATAAGAAACTTCTCTAAAGTAATAGCACCATTTACACAGCTGACAAAGAAAGGACTGCCCTTTGCATGGTCATCTGAGGCACAAACTGCTTTTAGTAAGCTAAAGACTCTCTTCACATCTGCACCAATATTGGTACATCCTGATCCTGAGCTACCTTTTATTGTGGAAGTGGATGCCTCAGACTCCGCCGTGGGAGCTATCATTTCTCAGCGACGAGGGGAAAAAATGCAGCTTCATCCCTGTGCTTATTTTTCTCGTTTTGATGTCATCTGCTGAAAGGAATTATGACATTGGGAATAAGGAGTTGCTGGGCAATTAAGGAAGCCTTTTCCGAATGGAGGCATCTGTTGGAAGGGGCTAAGCATCCTGTGACTGTCTTCACGGATCATAAAAATCTTGAATTCATCCGTTCTGCCAAGAGATTGTCTTCTAGACAAGCACGTTGGTCACTGTTCTTTTCTACGTTCAATTTTATTATCTCATATCGACCTGGGTCAAGAAATGGCAAGGCTGATGCCTTATCACGAATGTCGTCTGGGCCTCTCCAGGAGAACACTTCTGAATGCACAATCCTGCCTCAAAAGAACTTTCTAGGGGCCACAAGTCCTAAGGCATTCTTGAATCTTCTTAAAGAGGGGTATGAGAATGACCCACTTCTCAATCATCCACCTACGGACATTAACCTGACTTATAAGAATGGCTTTTGGATTCAAGGACATCATCTTTATGTACCTGAATCTGTTCGGGTGGAAGCTCTCAAGTTGGTTCATGATTCCAAACTTGCTGGGCATTTTGGAGTCGCTAAGACTGAAGAACTATTATCACGTTCCTTTTGGTGGCCGGGGTACAAGAAAGATGTCAAACGCTATGTGACCTCATGCTTGACCTGTGCACGCAATAAGATTCCCAGAGCCTCCCCTTTGGGGTTGCTTCAGCCTCTCCCTGTTCCATCAAGACCATGGGGGTCTATTTCTATGGATTTTGTGGTGGATTTACCTCCCTCAAAAGGAATGACCACCATTTTGGTAGTGGTTGACCGTCTCACTAAAAATGGCCCATTTTGTTCCAGTTAAGGGGGTGCCCACTGCTGAACAGACTGCAGAACTGCAGTATTCACTTCTCTACATCCATTCAAAGTGCTAAATTTATAGCTTGACTGAGAGTTCAGAAAAAAGGGGGCAGAGAGCTGAAATTACACTCTGCAGAGCTCAGTGAGGAGAGCTCTGAGAGCTGATCGGAGGGAAGAGACATACCCCCTTCACACATCCCACAGGAACAGAGCTGAGGCTGTCAATCCTACTGAGGAAGCCAAGTGGTGTGATGACACGCGTTCAGGCGGAGCTGGGTGTCAGAAATTTCCAAAATTGGAAGTGACACGGGAGCCGTGGCCCCGCTGTTTATATGCAAAGCTTGCGTTTTTAATTTATTTCATATGAGCAATGTATTCAATAAGTGTAAAACTTTCCCAATATACTACACTATGAAATACTTCTATCTTGCATGAGTTTAATATAGAGGGAAGAAGATTGCAACTTACAGGGTTAGACCCTCGCATATGGGAATACATAGAATCCACATCCAGACAACAAAGGGGCATTAATGCAGGCAGCACACTGAAGTGGAGACATCACAAAGGGTCCCATAAAGGGAAAAAGGTGCTTTAAGACCTGGAAATTACAGGTCCATCTATTGAGGTGAGCGCAGTGGTGAAAGATGGCGGGTATCACTACGCACGCGTTTGAGGAGTACAAGGAACTTTATAAAGTGAAAGAACTGTCCAGATTAAATGTATTGTCACATATATGTGTTTTGAATGACAAATGGACATTTATGTTTTGATATGCACAGTGAATATAAGGTATACCAGTATTTAAAGGGAAGGTGCATCAATATCTCTTTATATTATACATCTAAGGCTGTCAATCTGCTGGAGGTCCCTCCCCTGTCACCATTTTTTTCTCTTGGTGTCCACAAAACAGAAGTGATTCATGCAGATATCAGAGGAATGAGGCAGCAGACAGAAATTACACTTAGTTCTCTCAATTGAGAATTGTACATACTATAGAGAGATATGCTTTGATCATATTTCATGAGCTTTACAACCACTTTAAAGCAGAACTAAACCCATCAATTTAACTGTTTCAAAAAACAGTTACAAGCTGGGAACACTGTCACATTTGCTTGTACTCGCAACCAAAATGTCAAAACATCAAATGTCTGGTGTTATAACTGATCACATGTGCAACACCATGGCTGTTGAAGATCACACAGAGGCCAAGATGGCAGCTTCCTTGGCAAAAAAGGAATAGGAGGGTTTAGTTCAACTTTAATGTTTTTAAGGGCAATAATCATATTGTTTACTAGTTATTTCTTAATTTGTTTGCATTACTCTGTGCTCAAAGTACCATCGCTGCTCTTCACTTCACTGCTACTATTTCCAAAGCTTTTTATTTGTTTTATATTCCATATCATTTTTCCTAAAACATTTCTGTATACTGTATTTGAATACTACTGCTCTTTAAAAATGTGATTTTTTTTTTTTTTTTTTTTTTTTTAAACGCATGCTTTATATTTAATATTGTGTTGAACCTTTATTGTACAAATAAACATTTAACACGACCTGCACCTATTATAATCATGTTGTTAGCTTTCTTATTGTCTTTTTCTTAGGCTTTTTTCAGACTTGCGGAACTGCTTACTGCCCTCTGAAAAGTGACAAATTTCAAGGAGTAGAAACAGCATTTATTTTTTTGCATACTCCCCTACTACATGTATGCATCTATCCCAGCATTTAACTAGTGACTGGAAAGCTTTGGCATAGAAAGATTTGTCAGTATGCCTGAACCATCTCAGGACAGCCTGCTTCACTTCATCATCACTATGTTCACCATTCCCACAGAAAGATTTGTCACTTGTGCAATTTCATGACAGGTTATGCATCGATTATCCAGGATCAGGCATTTCACATGCTGAATATTCACAGGAATGTCTACTGTGGGCTGGGAACCACCACATTCAGGATCATCACTGATGGATGTACGGCCATCTTTGAAACTATTACACCATTCAAATGTCTTACTGCCCCTGAGCGTCTCATCACCGTACTTGAATACTGGATACTGTACTGGATAACCAACAGAAGGATATTGCCTGGATGTGTGTACGTGGTTGTTTGTCTACAAGAGAATTTCAGAGGAGATAAAGGTTTGTTGCCCTTCGATGTGCACCTTACTGCTACAGGTTGGCACGGTTGCCATTTTTTCTGCAGTTGGCTAATTTGGATGCATGGATTGCACTGGATACCTTTGCTGTCATTGTGGAATAGCTGGGCGTCACGTGCGTCCCTTTAAGGAGGGATGGGCTCCTTCAGGCACACTTGCCCTTAACCTACCACAGTATACAGAGAACCCTTGACGTGGGACTGTAGCTTAGGCATGTATTTGCAAATGTGTATGTGCAAACAAAACCCTCTGTTTTTAATGCAAACTGTTAGACAGGGCCAAATTGGTTGTTTTGCAGGCTGGCTGGTAAGTGTTGCTGGGAAATCCTGTGTTTGTTTGCAATGTGCATTGCCCTTCCATGTGCACCTTACTGCTAAGGCTGGTTATAGGTTGGGATGGTTGCCATTTTTTGTGTTGTTGATAGTGAGTAGTGATGTCCTTGATGTTCGAGTCGAAGGTAAGTTCAACTCAAACATTGGCCGTTTGTGTGTTCGGTGAACACATGAATGGTAAAGACATTCGGTGGGCTCTTTGACTGCTGCGCACCCCACTATGCACTGTGCTCTGACAGTGCATTGTGATTGGCCAGGTGCATTTGATTTGGCCAATCACAGCACAATTGGACAGAGCGAGTGGCGACGTCACCGCTAGCTCCGCCCAATTGTTTACATCTGACCGGTAAATATTTGATAGCGGTGAGTGCTCGGAGGGTGCGGGTGGGTTGGCGGGCGTCATTTTTTTTTTTTTCATTTTGGCAAGTCGACGTCATCATGACAACACTGGATGCTATGATTGATGATGAATTATGATGATGGAATAATTTTTTTAATAAAGGATTTGTGAAAAAACTGTTGTTGTGGTTTTATTCACACTTATTTTACACTTTTTTGGTGAATGGGTAGGGGGACTATGTACTCTATACCAGGGCTTAAAATTTCAAGTCCTGAGCTACTAGCCATGCCTTAAGAGTTACTCGCCACCAACAAATATACACAAACAGAGACACCTGTACACACAGAACCACATACACACACGCACAGAGACACATGTACACACACACACACACACATACAGACACATGTATACACACACAGGCACGTACAGACATGCATACACACAGATACATGTACATACACAGAAATACACACGCACAGACACATGTACATACACACAGACACATGTACATACATACACAGACACATGTACACACAGACACATGCACGTACATACACACACACACACACACAGATGTACATGCACACAGACACATGTACACACACATACATATACATACACACAGACACATGTACATGCATACACAGACACACACAAACACACACACATGTACACACACACACACACACACACACACACCCTCTAAAAAGTTGCAGTACTTTGTTGTTCACTCACAGAGCCGGGTACTGCACTCTAGGGGGAGGCAGAGAGCAGAGCACACATTCCTTCCTTTGCTTTCACTGCACTCAGTTATTGAGCAGTCTGACGGCTCCCAGTGCCAATGACAGATCCGGCCTGAGCTCTGAGCCTGCTCAGTAAGACGGCCCTGGGGGACACACTTACCCCCACCATAATTTCCACTCACCATTGGCGAGTGGAAATTTCAAGGCCTGCTCTATACTCATGCACAAGGGGGGGTGGGATCTGGGGGCCAGATTCCGATAAGTGACCCCCCCCGCAGACCCCCACAACCACAGCCCAGGGTTGTGGGGAAGAGGCCTTTGTCCCAATCAACATGGGTACAAAGTGCTATGGGGAGGCAGCCCCCATACCCTAAAGCACCCCCCATGTTGAGAGGATGTGGTCTGGTACGATTCATGAAGGGAAGTGCGCACTCCCCCCCCCCCTTTCCTAGCCTGCCAGGCCTGTGCTTGGGCTCTGTTAGGAATTTAGGGGGGCCACGTGATTTTTCCCCCATTTCTGGGAGGTGGGGTACCCCTTAAAAGTCCTACCAGAAAAAAAATGACTTAAAAATATCATTTAAAAAAAAAAAAATGTCAATCATGTTGTTCAAGGTTCTATAGATTGTACAGATGTACAACTTTGCACATAGTTTAAGGGGACCCCCCAGGCATGACATTTTTTTATCTTTTGCTTGAAGCAATGAAAAATTAATGCCTTTTTAATAATGGTGTTTTTTATAAAAAAATAAAAATTTAACTGAATCATGTCCCTCAGGGCAGTACCCGAGTCCCCATAACCCATATATGGCCAATAACTTACATATATGCCTTCAAAATGGGCACTTTTGAATTTACAGGTTCGAGTACCACAGATGTGCATTGAGTTCGAAAGGGGTTGTTTGGCCCATCACTAATAGTGAGGTGTGTTCAAGGCGGGGGGGGGGGGGGGGTTGGTGTTGGAGAACTGAGATAGTGGCGCATCTGTTTTGGGAGTGTGAATTTGCTAAGGGGGTGTGTAAATGTTTGGGAAAAATTGTGAGATGATTAAAGGGTATTAGGAAAATGTAGAAAGGAATGAGGCCAAAGTGTTATGGATAGTGGTAAATTATGAGAAAGAAACTCTATGGGACATGAATATTTAGGTTTTTAGGAAGGAGGTGATGGTGGTGAGAGATTGTGTAGCCATGGTAATTATTTTCATTTGGGGAGTGTTGTAAGGAAAGTATGGGGAGTTCATGTTACTTCTTAAGGAAAAAGTAGAGGTTTGTTCTTATACGTGGGGGGAGTGGACAATGTAAATACATGGTAATTGGTGTATAGCTTTGTGGGTTTATTATGTTACTTATTGTTTTTTTTTTCTCATTATGTTAGGTGGAGTGTGAATTAGTGGTGGAGAGAAAGCATGGCAGGTAAAAGGGAAAGCACAAATGTTTTGTTGTTACTGTTTTTGGGAAAGGGTAGAGCGGCAGTTATTTGAAATGGGGAAAATGGTGTTCATATGGTATTTATGGCTCTAGATAAAAATGAGAAATGGAAAATTATTTTTGATGCTATGATTTTGAGGTTTGTTTGGAAAATTTATCTTTTTTGTTTTGAACCTTTAATAAAAATAAATTTATATCATATATATATATATATAATTTGTGCAGAAATAAAGCATACTATAAATGATTTTAGAGAAATGTAAACTACTCATCTTCTTCGTTCTGGATTCAGAATAGGCATTCAGTTTCAAGCAAAGAAAAAACACTCCCATTCTTTGACATGACCACAAGTTTTGTTAGTAGGAAGAAGTTATAGATTTTGGTTATAGATGTTTAACAATTATATCTGAACAGAGAGCAGGTTAGAATGTAATGATTTTATTATTTTAAGTTTTTTTTCTACACTGGGTAGTTGACTAGCCTAAGCATAATGAGAATTGACTTCTGGGTGTGCTTCCTGTGTATGGGTATGTTCAAAATGCTCTGAAATGAAATAAAATTTAGATAAATATAGAGGTTAGAATTGCATTATATTGCACAAATTGGTTGACAGCTACCTTTGGTATGTTATACCCAGTCAAGAAGCATTTACTTGTCTATCTTACAGCTGGTCTACCTTTCCAACTCACCTTAGCAGTCCTCCTGTATGTGTATGTCCAAAATTCTCTGAAGTGAAATAAAAATTTAGATAAATATAGAGATTAGAATTGCATTATATTGCACAAATTAGTTGACAGCTATCTTTGGTATGTTATACCCAGTCAAAAGGCATTTACTTGTCTATCTTACAGCTGGTCTGTCTATCCAACCTACCCTAGCAGTCCTCCATATTTATAAGGCTGAATGTCATGATCTTTTGCTGTGCGTATGCAACACCAGTAAAAACATTTTTTTCTTCTCTTTTATCATCACCCATTCTGCCCAGTCCAAGATCCTGATGGTCTTACAAGTAGCTTATGGCATAAAAATATGCTATCTATATGTGATATGGGTTCAGCAAGGCAAATTGTCTATAACTAAGCCTTTGTTTGTTTTTTATGGCAGTTGGTCCTCCTTTTACCCAGTAACACACACATATACGCAATACACACAGATGATAGCAGGTGCGTTTTAACAGCTGTAAACAGGGACATAGACAAACAGTTCACATGTGACTCTTTAATATTCACAGTTATCGGAGATACTCATTTCAATTACACATTTTTCTAGCGCTTACAAATCTACAGACCTTTATTATATTTTTAGGAAACACTTTATGGAGTCTTCAAATAAGAATTTTTCTATTTTCAATTGTACCTAAGCAAATATTATATACGTCATTTGGAATTTAATCAGTACCCCTTTATTATATGTTAATAGTTTAATAGTTGTCAGCTACTGGACAGATTTTGTCTTCTTCACATCAGTCAGTATTAGAAACTGTCGGAGTTTTGCAAAGAATGAATTAGGTATGTCAGATATAAAGCTTTTAATATGTATTATTCTCAATCTAATGACACTGTTGAAGAAGTTGTCATTGAGTACAAGGATGCTAGAAGTCTACATTTATAATAGGGACAGATAGTATTGATTTCTTTTACAGTAATCCAATTAGAGACTGATCTGTTGCACTGAAAGATTAACTGCAAGGATTTCCCCAAACCGCCATTAATCCTTTAGCACCAGCTATTCCTGGTAGGTGCATTCAGGGGCATGCTGGGAAAAGAATTGCTCCAAATGTTAGGGCCAAGAGATATATATGGTGCATCTAATTCTCTTTTGCCCTTTTTGATTTAAAAAGAGACGTTTAGATCTGTAAATTGTAATTAGGGAAATAATAGGGCAGCATAATAAAAAGCTTCCAGAAAGTTAATGCAGAACAGTAATGAGCTATCTTGGTTATACATTGCATCCTACATCCTTCCTCAAGTGGAGGGTTAACCATTACATCGATCAGGATGTACAAACTTGCCGTATTGCAAAGATGAAGAATCTGTCAGCGATAAACCACTGTACTAATGGCTCACATTTTTACTGAGATATGTACAATAAAAAAATAAAAAAGCGCTGACTTGCACAAAGTAAAAACCTCATCAGTTTCTTTGCTGTCTTTCCTTATTACCCTGTTATGGTTTCATTAGGTGGAAGAGAAACAAATTAGTAGGTCCGCCATACTGACTTTATTTTAGCAATTGCACTGTCATATAACATCTGTGCATTATTCAAATGTACGTATTGATAAAGTTTTCTCCATATCCATACTCACTGCTTCTTTAAAGATTCAAAATAGTTGTTAGACTTTTAAGACAATTGGTTAGATTTACTAAAGGCAAATAGGCTGTTCACTTTGCATTGGAATTTTCACCAATGCTTAGTGAATGTGGTGACATGTCAGTTTTCAACGGAAAACCCAATCATGTTAAAAAAAATAAAAAAAATTTGCATTTTTGCTTGCACATGGATAGATGATGGGATTCAGCAGATCTTTGCCTCATTCATTAAGCTTTGGGAAAAATTCCCTTGCAATTTGAACAGCCTGCTGCCATTAATAAATCAACCCTATTGTGTATGATTTTAAAATTAATACAATTTTAAAACCAAACCATACAGCTGATCTACAGGCAGATATTAAAGATGCAAATTATTGCAGCTCTGTATTCATTAATACATGATTAAAAAATGTATTTTAATGAAAAAAATTTAGTCCATTGTCTTTATGGTGGTTGTTAAGGCTGAAGGTATTTTACCTTCATGCATTCTATGCATGCATTCTTCAGTGTGCAGTTTTTCCCCAGTCACCCCAATACTCACCTATGCCCAATCTCAATCCATCAATGTGTATGAGAGCAATGGCTCTCCCAAATCTCCCCCTCCTCATTGACTGAGACACAGCAGAGGGAGCCTTAGGCTGTCAATCACAGCCAGTGGGGCAAGGCTGAGCCACACTTTGTGTGTCTTATGGTGGTTCAGGAGCAAGTATGCACAAGTGCCCCCAGAGCAAGCAGCCAGTTCTGGGGGCACTCAGCAGGAGGAAGAAGTCAGGAACATAAGCAGGGGACCCAGGAAGAGGAGGATTGGGAATGCATGTGCAAAACCATTGCACAGAGCAGGTAAATATAACGTTTTTATTAAAAAAAAAAAAGAAAGAAAAACCTTTAGTATCACTTTAATGAGCCTGTACACACATGCTTGTAAACATGCCCTGCCTACAGATTAGAGAAAAAAAAAAATCTGCATTGCTGGTTAGTATTTGTACACATGTACATGTGTATATGTGCTTATTATACAGGTGAAAAAAAAATTAGAATATCGTGCAAAAGTTAATTTATTTCAGTAATGCAACTTAAAAGGTGAAACTAATATATGAGATAGACTCATTACATTCAAAGCAACATAGTTCAAGCCGTGATTTGTCATAATTGTGATGATTATGGCTTACAGCTCATGAAAACCCCAAATCCACAATCTCAGAAAATTAGAATATTGTGAAAAGGTGCAATATTCTAGGCTCAAAGTGTCCCACTCTAATCAGCTAATTAAGCCATAACACCTGCAGAGGGTTCCTGAGCCTTTAAATGGTCTCTCAGTCTGGTTCAGTAGGAATCACAATCATGGGAAAGACTGCTGACCTGACAGTTGTGGAGAAAACCATCATTGACACACTCCATAAGGAGGGAAAGCCTCAAACGGTAATTGCAAAAGAAGTTGTATGTTCCCAAAGTGCTGTATCAAAGCACAAAACAAAGGTGCAC